TGCTCATCCCATCTTCTTTCAACATTAGTGGAATACGATTGGTTTCGTTTTTAAACTAGCGGACTGATTCAGGGTAGAATATTTAAATAAATAAACTTATTTAAACACTTATATTTAATATTCAAGGGAAATCTCAGTATGGAAACTGCAATGGGAATTCTTTTCCTATGACAAAAAAAACCCATTCACTAGTAATAGAAAAAACATATGTACATATGTATGTGCTTCCGTTTCACACTTCCTGGTTCGTGTTTCCCTTGCATATTACTCATACGCCACATTGCACACACTTAATTAATCTGTGTCGCGCTAGTTGTGCACTTTTCAGCCTACCCCCAACCCCCGACCCAACCCCCTGAAAAGCAAACGACGGCCACACAACGCCTTAGCTTTGACATTGACTTTGAAGATAGATAACACACATAGTTAACGTGTGTGTGTGTGTGTGTGTCTTGATGAGTGTGTGTGCACAATTCTCTCTCTCTCGCTCTCCTTCTCTGTTTGCATGGCGTCTGCGGTGCTCGCTCGTTATTTAAAATTAGAATAGAAGGTATTTTGCAAATAAAATAATTCCTTACTATGGGTGCGCGCGTGTGTGTGTGCGAGTTTTTTTGGTGCGCGTGTGTGTGTGTGTTGGTCTTATCGACACAATGCGGCGCATGTTAGCCCCCCGCTCTCTCTCTCTCTCTCTCTCTCGTTTGCTCAACTTATCACTGCTCGCCTACTTGAGTGCCCGGTTGGTTAGGTGTCTCTTGCGTTATCTATACACACATACACACACACGCATACACATGCTTGCAGTTGACGCTAAGAGCAACAACAACAATAGCTACAAAGTCGAAAATAAAGAAGAAGACGAGAGCGACGCCGACGCTGATTTGATTATTTCGGCAAATTCATTTCGCGACACTTATCGCTCAAGGTCACGGGCAAAATTCCAATATACATACATACCTATAGTATATAGCCACGACATTGAAAATAATGGCAACGTGCTAGAAGAAGCGCCAGCCCCACACACACACACCTACAAATAACAAATGATAAGAGCAGCAGGGAACGTACGTACATACATACATGTACGTACATATGTATGTATGTATGTATGTAGATGTGCAGCTGTAACATGACTGGCACAAAATTATAACTGCGTCGACGACTATCTAGGGAGAATGAAGGGTTGTAAGGCAGATATGTCGTTAGCGGATACGCAGAATTGTAAATTAATATAATAAACATGAACAAATACATTACATACATACATTCTCTGCTTTTTAGTTGAGCTGCTTCACTATGATTGGTAATTGGTTGACAATTAATTTAAGTTCGCAGCTTGGACTAGCAAATGAAAAGATATTTAAATAGGGGGAGGGACTAGACTATAGTGCCATAATAGACCTAATTCTGTTTTTACACGGTCTTTTTGTACACGATTTTGATATAACACTGTTTAAAGATTAAAATTTGCAAATGTACATATGTATACTTGTATGTATATTTTTTTTTCAGAGATAAGAAATCATGAAATCAATCACCTATTTTTGCATATGATCAATGTCTTTTTTTACATGGTTGTTATATACCGTGTAAAAACAGAATTAGGTGTAATAGTAATATAGTACTAATATAGCTTATAGTACTCTCCAGATATGTCTTCCAACCCTATTAACCTGAGAGTGTTGTTGCTGATGTTGAGAAATATTCAACGAATCAAAGAAATAATGCAATTTATAAACTCAAAGTCTCACAGGAACATTGAGCTGCAATCGTAAATCACAAAAATTCTGATCAATCTTTTGATGATCTTTAAATAACATATCCAATTCAAATCTATATTGCTTGATGTACAATGTGGAGTTTTAGTAGGAACTCAATATCGATGTTGAATTTTTATAGATATGTATGTATATAGTAGCTTCGTTCAAAGATAATCTATGTAGCCGCAATAAAAGCAAAGATCTAAGTTTGATTATCATTTTAAAAATCTTTCCATGATTTTGTAAGTTAACTTCAATAAAGAAGTGTCGCGACTTAAATCCAAGGTTTTATTATCGTTTGAAGAATTTTAACAGCAAACTGTCGTTTCTTCAACTAAATCGATGGCTAGTTTTATTTATTTTGCTAAATCAGCGATCAAATAGTGGGTTCCATTGGCAGCGCGAACATCATAAAATTGATAGGGTGTGCCTTGCTTGACTTATACAAATGATGTCCTTGGGATGTGCTTGTTTAAGATCCGCAGTTGTTTCCGTTGTTGAATATGCTGCAATTTAAATGCCACATTTTTGAAATAAAAACGACAGACAATTTTCATTTCTTGATATATTTTAAATACTTATTTTCATATTTTATTCACATATTTCCTCTGGTTTTAAAACAAACTGCATTATTATTTTATTTCACAAATACAAATGTCTTCCTGCCTTACAATCGATCTTACTTTTGTCTTACTTTTGTTGCTGTTGTTGTTGTTGTGTTTTTGTGTTGTTGTTTTCTTTTTGTTCGTTTCGATTTGCCATTTAGCCCATTTATTCTAATTATTACGTTCGCTGTACGATTTGGGAATTTCGAATGCTCCTCAAACATTTCACATTTCTCGTTTCCCGTTGGCAATTTCCATCTTTCTCTCTCGCTCTCTTCTTCTTCCTTTTATATTATCCGATTCAAATCATTTTGTTAATAAAGTTTTCAATTATATTGTGTGTGGCTGCCTTCTGCGCGCTCAGTTTGAATTTGTTCTTCGAGACTAGTTCCTATTTACGTGTAAACTGTTACTGTTACTTTACTGTTACTTTTAAATCTTCTATGCTTAATTGTCGCAATTTCATTGTTTCAGTTGTCGCTGCTTGTGCAGCTGCTGCTCAAAACCTCTTATTATTACCGGATAGCAGTCAGATCCCTGATACAGAACTGCCATCCTCCTCGACCTGCTCTTCAAATTTGGAATTTTTGTTGTTTTTCATCATTTTGTTCATTTTTTACATAAAATATTCATATTCTTTAGATACAATGTGTCTTCAATATGTTTACTTTGCTGGCTAAAAATTACGGACAATGTTACAAATACACACACACACACAAAAATCGTTTACGATTTCTGTTTTTTTTTTTTGTATTTTAGTTGGTTTTTTTTTTGTTTTTTTTTTAAATTTTTATTCATATGCTTGTAATTATTGAAGTGTGATATTTGTATTTATGTTTGTAACCGTTTTGTTGTTGCTGCTGCTTGCATAAATGTTAAAAGAATATATTTATGTAATATATTTGTAAATGTTATTTTATTTATACGCTTACTGCTCTTTTAAGTTAATTTCATTCGTATGCGTAAGTTTCAAGTCAACTCGGCAAACATTCTTTAGTTGCTCTTGCTGTGGTTGTTGTTGTTGTTGTGTTTTTACATTGTTTTGCGTGCGCATTCGTTTATACACATAAAATATTAACTTTATTCGGATAAAGGTATATCGTACATACAATACATATATAAGAGTTGCAGATATCGCTTCTCTACAATTTTTACAATGCGGCAGCAGAAAAAACAAAGAAGAGCTACAAATTATATGTTTCGATCGAAAATTGTTGTGGTTCTCGCTTCCCACAAAACAAAAGTAAACGGAAAGTGTTGAAAACAAGAGCTGAAAATGAAAAGTCTGAAAAATAAAAACCAATTCAAATAAAAAGAAAGGGTTGAATGTTTTTTTTTTTGATATTTTTTAAACAAATTTTTTATTGATTTCACATACAAATTTCTGCGTCGGTGTGTGTTTTTGTGGTTGTTGTTGTTGTTGTTTCTGAAGCAAAAATTGTTTGGTTCATTACCATAAACATAATAATAATAATAATTAATTAATAATAATCATAATAGTACAGCATAATTATAGTAATAATTAATGTAATAGTTCTTTGCTACCGCAATTTTTAATAATAATAAATTGTATTCTTTTTTTGTTTGTTTACTTTTTAAAGTTTACGCTTTTCAAATAGTATTTTTTGCAGTTTTTTTTTGTGGTTTTTGTCTGTTTGTTTGTTACTCATTACTGATATTTTTGTCAGCGTCTAAGTTTTATGTTCTTTACGCCAATTAAACATTTAATTGTAATGTATAGTGTTTACTTTAAATATGCGTTACGTTTAATTTAACATTTAACTATTTACACAACAAATCATGTTTAACGTTGGGTTTTTGCAATAATTTGATTTTTTATTTGTTTGTATTTTTTTTTTTTTTTGTTTTTTCTTTTGTAGTTTTTGCTCAGTGTTGGTTTTTAAAATTAGAAAACAATAATATATATATTAATTATGTATGCATATATGTATATATGTAGGTATAAATTTACTTGATGTAATTCTTTAGCAAATTAGGTTTGTGCCAAAAAATGTTGTCTATATATAGTATGTTTAAGAAATTATAACAACGCAATAAAATTAATTCATAAAAAATGAATTTGCAACTTAAAGTATCCTTTGCATGTTCTCGTGTCAAAAACTGCTTTTCACTTAACGGAGATCGCACAAAATATTCACTTTCGCTTCATTTCGGTTTAGTTTCACCAAATTTTGTAAAAATAATTCGCAGTTTTTCCAAAAAACATTTAAAAGCAAGTAGTATTGAACGCTTCGCTTGCCTACTGAATAACTAAATCTAAAACTATCGATAGAAATATATAGTATGTAAAATATGTACAACAATCACTTAAAACTTAAAAACAATTCAAAGTTTGCGCTTTGTAAGAAGAAGTTCTTGTTTTTCTAGAAGAAACAGTCAAAAACAAGAAACAATTTTGGAAGAAAAAACAAATACTTTGAAGAAGAAGATGAAGCGTTGCAAATAAAGGAAATTACGTTTTCTTTTCTTTAGGACTCAAAAGCAGCAAAAATGTGGTTTCAATTCTACTATTGTTTCCATACAACGCTATTTGAATGGTAGTAGGCGCTGCTTGCCACGCCCACCATTTACCTCTAAAAAGCGCTTCGATCAAAAATGAAAAAGGACATTTGTTTCATCGCCTTTAAATTAATAATCTTTACTTTAAACGCTTAAATTGCATGCATTTGTTTAAACTTTGTACACTGCTCAATGTTTTTTTGTTTTGTTTTTTTTTTTAAGTTTTATTTTTAATGTAAAATAATTTAATTGGTTTGTTTTTTTTTTTGTTTTGTTTTGCTTCTAATATTTTTCTCTGCTCTTTTGTTGCAAATTAAATTAATGTTGAAATAATATATATATATTTTTGTTTTTGAAGATTTTTTTCTTTTGTGTAGTTTTTCCCGCCCTGTAATGCTGCTGTCTTGGTCACGCCCCCTTGTTGCGACCACTTCTTAAGTTCTCTTGTGTGTTGCTCTTTAAGGAAAGTTTCTTACGCACCCTCTCCCCCTCTCTGCCACATTTCTTAAATCATTTCAGTCTCGCTCTTGCACTAAACATTTGAAGAATTCTGCTTAGCTGTGTGGTTGGCGCCACTGCTGGGGTGGTTTACGCCTCCAGCATGACTTTGTGCACCGCTGGCACGCCCCCGGAGGGAGGCTGCGGCGTACTGCTGCTGCTCGGCGGTGTGCTGGAAGCCACCGGTGGTGCGGTGGTTGCTGTCACAGTCACATCAGCCGACACTGTGGGGTAGCGTTGCTGCTGCTGTTGTTGTTGTTGTTGCACAGCATTGGCAGCGGCGACGAGAGCGTGCAGTTTGCTGGGCGGCGGCGTCGGGGATTTCTTGGACAGATTGAGCGGCTGCTGGGAGTCGGCGATGTCCACCTGAAGCTCGAGCATACGAGGTGGCGAGGGACGCGGCGGTGTTACTGGTGAGGTGGAGGAGGATGTTGAGTGCGGCGATTGGAAATACTGACAACTGGAGGCGACGCTGGACGTTGTCGATGCGGTCGCGGAGGATGAGGATGAAGAGGAGGAGGACGACGATGAGGAGGATGAGGAGGAGCCATTGCTGTGTGGCGAGACTGATTGCTGGCGCTGCTGGCAGGTGGTGGTGATCACCGATGAGGAGGCCCAGCGCCCGTTGGGTAGCCCAGCCACCGTCGGTGGTTGCTGCTGGGGTGGTGGCGAAGGTAGCGTTACGCAAGCACCGCCACTGCTGGTGGTTGAGGGTGAAGCGCAATTGGAGTTGCTCGACGACGGCGAAGAGGCGGCGGCATAAATGTGCGACTGTTGCTGCAGCGGCGCCGGACTACGGCTGCCGGTGGTTGAGCTGGCGGCTGCAGCCGCTGAGGGCTCACGCATCAAATAGTTTTGAATGATATCGGAGCGTTTCATTTGCTCGGGCGTCATGCGTGGCTCGGCCATTAGGGACTTGGCGAGCACGGAGTGGGTGCTGGAGAGGGTGCCACCTGTGGTGGAGCTCTGGGTGGTTTGGCTGCTGTTGCGCGTCAGATGCATGTGCAGTTGGCTTTGGTGGTGATGCTGTTGTTGCTGTTGGTGGTGCTGCTGGTGGTGATTGTGGTGTGTAGCGACTTGGGCGGGCGGTGGTGTGGCCGCTGCTTGTGGCACAACGACGCTTATGGCGGCGGGTGGTGGGCTGTGGCTCAAGTGAGAGCCACCGCGCGGACTGCCAGCAGGCATGCTTGTGGTGCTGCTACTGCTGCTGGTGGTGCTGGCAGCACTGGTGGAGCTGCTGGCGTCCGCCTCCGCGGTCTCGAACTCGCGATGGCGCAATGCGCGGAATTTCTTGTGCGGCTTATAGGCCTCGTCCATCAGCGAGTTCGTGTCGTACAGCGGGGGTGCCTGTAGAACGCGCTTCAGCACAGGCATATCCTCCACAATCTGACGCTTGAGAGTCGCGCTGCTGGAGGCCGATGTGGCCGAGGAGGGCTGTGGCGAGCGCACAGGCGACACAGAAACGCTCACCTGGGCGGCAACTGCGGCGGCAGCGGCTGAAGCAGCAACCGCTGCGGCATCACTGCAGTCCAAAGCATCATCGACGCTGGAGCGCGGACTCGAGCAGGAGGAACTGCCGCCAGAACTGACGGGCTTGCTGCCTCCGCACTCGTTCTTCTCATTACCGGACTCAATGCCGGAATCTGTGGGCGAGTCCAACTTGCGGTAGCGAGCCACCGCAGTGGCGCCGGAGGTCAAATGATGATGCAGCTGGGGATGCTGATGATGCTGGTGCTGCGGCTGATGCGACTGCTGATGGGCGTGGCGCACAATAGGCGTGATCGTGAGTCCATTCTGTGTGAGATGCGCATGGGAGCCGACTATGTCCATATCGGCAGCACCAGAGTCCCCGGAGGATCCGGAATTGGCCCGATTTCTCAATGGACAGCCGCCGGAGAGGGTGGCGGCCAAAAGTGGAGCCGAAGAGGCCAATGATGAGGGAGCAGCATGAGTTGGCACCGAGGGACCAACCTGATGATGAGTGCTGCTTGGAGCACTGTAATCTAAATCTCCACTCTCTGTGCTCGAGACGGAGCCCAAGGGGCTCTTCGCCGCCTCCACATCCATGGCATCCCAGCTGCGCGAAGGACTCTTCACAGCTCCTGCACCCGCAGCACCGTTAGACTCGCCGTCCTCCATGGACCACATCTGCTGACGCAACAACTCCTTGTGCTCCGTGCGAAAGACCACTAACTTCTCGGTGTGAAGAGTGCTCAGGGTACGCAGATCAGGCATTGTTTCCAGCAGCTTGGACAGGAAATCTGGCTGATCTGGACGATTCTGGGCCACAATGCACTGCAGACAGCCCTTGAGGCGACTGTACATTTTCTCAATAAGCTCCAAGTTGCGCAGACCCGGACGGTCGGGTGTGATCAAGACAATGGCGCAGAAGAGACCAATCTCAGCATCTGTCAGATTCATTGAGTTCATGCGCTCCGCAAAATTGAAGGTCGAGTCGACCAGGAAGCGGGCATTGGCTCCATTCTGGATAGCATCGCGACGCATTACTTGGCCATTCAGGCAAATAATCGAGTTAATGGACGAGTCAAACATGCAGATCAGACGCACGAAGAGCGCATCGAAGAGACCCGCCTTCAACAGCGTGAATTTGTCGTCCTGCGTGAGCAACTGGAAGCCGGGAATCATGCCAGCGAAGTCGATGACGCCACGTATGACGTGCGCGAAACGCTGTGAGAACTCCTGCTCCGATTGCAGCTCAGGCGCGGGATTTAGAGGACAGGCCTGCAAATAAAAACAAGCAAAATGGGAAGATCTTTGGTTAGAGAATATAAAATATAGAGAATATTCTTCTAAGTACAAGTCTGGTAAAAATAAATCTAAAACAATTCGCGCCCTAAACCCTGTTGCATACGCGACTCACGTACTATTGTGAGTTGACTAATCTATTACACATCGCACAGATAACGGCAATCGTCAGTCTGCAGTTGTTGTTGCTGTTGCTGTTACTGTTACTGCTGACGTTTTTGTCACTTTGTTGCTGCGCACAAAGTTCACGCGAAGGTCGCCCACCCGCTTTATGTGAATCAATAATTATAATTATTAGTACTTCCGCACGCCCACACACGCAAATAGATTGCGAGAGCAGTTCAGCGCTCTCTGACTCACTATTCTCACTCACCACCCGACCTACACCTGCTCTCCCAATCTCTCTGTTGTCCATCGTCGTTACATTTCCTGATGCCTGCAGAGCTTCTGGTTCTGCTTCTGCCCAGCAGAAAAGCTCAATTCGCGGAACACACTCAACGAGTGCTAGTTTTTTTTAGTTTCTAGTCGTTTCAGCTCTCGCTCTCGCACACTAACACTTGCACATGGACAGCAATTATTAGGCGCTTACGTTTTCTGCTAGTTTTAGCAACAACGTTGACGTTAGCGTTGATGTCGTCGCCTGACATTCTGTCCAAGGTCGACGAACCAGAGTTCAAGGTTTGTTTCTGCTCCCCCAACGGGCAGCGACGTCGACCGCGGCGCGTGTGCGTCGTTCTCGTATTTTATTCTGTGCGCCTTCTATTTTAGTTTCTGTTTTTTTTTTTTTTTTAATTTCTGTTCTAGTCTCTGTTGTGTCTCAAATGCTCCGTTCATGTAATTTGGTAATTTTGCTTTCCGGGTGTTATTTTTTTTTTTTTACACACACGCACAGCTCTGACACTAGACGTGCATACGTGCCCTTCCTATTCACTCGGTATAAACCACAACAACAACAACAACTAAAACAATAGCTGTTTTTCAATCGCATTTGTATTGAGTTTTGTTTTGTTCATTGTTCCTGTTTTGCTTTTAATTTATAATTTATTGCATGTATTTACGTATTTTTTTTTAAACGGGCTTCAAGTTTTTTGCTAATGTTCCGTTTTAATAAAATCACACGAACACACACACACACACACACATACGTATGTGGCACCTCACCTTGCCTTGCCCCGCTCCGCCCCTAAAATTGCTTTGTCTGCCTGTTTGCACATTTAAATCTGAGCGCCTTAGCGAGCGCTATATGTATGTATACATACGTATATGTATGGGTGTATGTCTGTTTATATTTATTTGTATGATTAACCTTGAACATTTTTTCGTCTACCCCACCGCTTGCTTTTGTGCTTAGCGGCCTTCGTCAAGTGCAAAATGCCGGCAAGCGGCAACCGGCACAGCAACAGAAGCAGAAACAACAACGATAACACACACGCACACACAAATACACAAACAGACAAACGGATGGACGGACAGACAGACGTTCGGACAAATTTCTTTCTATTTCTACACCTTTGAAATGACGGCGTTGTGCCATTTAGGATTCGCATTCGCAATCGGTTCGTTTTCGTATATCATATACAAATATTTATTTGCGCAAAAAGCGGAAATAGTTGCGCACTAGAACTACTCTGTGTGTGTGTATGTGCGTGCCTGTGTGTGTGTGCGTGAATGGCTTTCTTTCGCACAACTTTATGAGCCATTGCCGCCAGTTTCTTCCTCTTCCCTGGCATGCGCGTATCATAAAACCGGCGGCGACCTTCAATTCATTATTTTTGGCTGATTCGCATTTGTTTTTCTGCTTCCACTTAATTTTTTCCATTTTTTTTCTTTTTGTGCTTGCAGAAAAATTAAAAAAAAATGAATTCCTCGAAATTTATATTCCACTGCTGATAGGGAGCAAGGCTTAAGGGGCAAATTGTACAAGTAGAATATAGATGATTGGTATTAAGCAGCGAAAAAGCATTTGACAGCTTTCAGAAAAGTTCTAATGGCATGGCTAAATACAAAAAAAAAAAAACGTATAAGATTCGCGTTTTATTATTCTTTACTAGCATTTACTGATTAGAATTTATTTACATATGTACGAATGTATTTCCTTCTACCTTCATTCACATATTAACCTTAGAAGGTTGCCTTTGTGCCTCAGCTCTTATTTGATTTCTGTTGCTGCCTTGCATTGCTTCCGCCTTGTCACACACACACACACACACACATAAACACAGACTCATAACTCACATAAATATGTACATACATCCATACATACGTACGTATATAATTCTAAAGCTACATATGTCAGTTGAGTCGATATGTGGCGCTTCCTTATATGTAAGCATTTCGAACCACCTGACACGGCAATTAAATGTGAATTGCGTCGTCGTTGTTGCCAAAGGGTAAGCACTGCAACCCCCCCGTGCCCGTGCCCCCCCCCACTATCTTTCTCTCTCTCTCTCTCTCTCTATTGCTCAGACTTTCTAGCCATGCACACAAATTAAAATTTGTATTTGTATGCTTGTTGTTGTTGCCATTATTATTGCATGATCATTATTTGTATTAGTTCGCATTTGACTTGTCATTGAAGGGGGGAGGGGGCTGTTGCTGGGACTGGGGCTTGTAAAAGTGCCGTTGCTGTGTCTGTCTGTCCGCCTGTCCGCCTGTCCGTCTGTCTGCTTGCGTTTTGCTTCCTCATACCCACATGCACACATTCGCACACATCTGTACATATGTATGAATTTGTACATGTTTTTCTAAGTTTATCAGTCGCGGCATTTATTTCATGTGCATGTCTCGACACCTCGTCCAGCCCATCCCATCCCATCCCATCCCCCGCAACGACGGCGACCCACCCTCTCACCACCTCTGCGATCACACTCTATGCATATTCGTATAATAATATTTTGTATTTTTTATTGTTTGCGCATATATTTCTATATACATATGTATACATATCTATAGTATATATGCGCATGCAAAATAATACATACATTTCATTCATTCAAGGTTAAAAAATAACTCGCCACAAGGTCGTTCTCGCGCATATGCCAACGTCTATGTGTGTGTGTGTGTGTGTGTTTTTATTCTACACTGCAGGCATGTGCAAATTATTTCTTGTTGTTGCTGCTAGCCCCTGAGATCGCTTAACACTACGGCTTAGGATTATCTGGAGCCTGAACTTATCAAAGGAGTCCAGTTGCCAACGAAATTTACACTTATTAGCTTTGATTTTTTTTTTTTTTTGCAAATCATAGTCTGCAATAGTGTTGCAACAAAGGAAGGAAATTTAATTACTACCTGTAATAGAAATAATACCTTTGAACTTTTCAAAACACTCGCATGACATTTCCATTTAACAATTGTTACGTATTTCTTTTGAATCAACGTTGCTTAAAGCATATTTTCCAGTAATTAGACACATTCCATTCGCCACATAGTACTAGAACTTATACCTATATACGAGTAGGTGTGTACATATGTACATATGCAAGTAAATGGCGAATTGGACTGCAGAGCTCGCAACTGTTGTCGTTGGCCATTGGTCATGCCCTTGACTTTGACATTTATAATTCTTGATAATGAAAACGTGTATAGATATAAGTTCGTTCATAAGTGCTATACCAGAATGCTCTGCTATTAGCTCAGCTGTTTTATTTAGCTAATGGGCACGATAATATCCACAACAACAACAACAACAAAATTTTCGACAGCTTACTTTGCCTGCCTCTTCTATCACTGCCCAGCCTTAATACTACAAATATACATACTTTTCATACCTATTTACAATGTATTCTGTGTGGGTGTATGGCTTGCCATTTTGTTATAGCACGCTTAAATATTTAATAACAATTTATTTAAACAGTCGCACATGTGTCTAGCGCTCACCCCTCCCTTTCTATTTGGGCGCCCCGACCACCCCCTCATCAGTCGCAGTAACACACGCGCCTCTATCTGACCATTTGTTGCTGTCTGTATGTTTGTACGTAGGTCTGTGTGTTTCATTAATAATGACGCTACGCTTGACCTTGAGCTTTTAGAACTGTATGAGCATTTGTTATTATTTCCATTGTTGTTGTTGTTGCTGTTTCTGCTGTTGTTGTAGCAACACGTTTTTTGCCATTGCCTTATCGCCTTGCCTTTACTCGTGGCGTGCTTATCGCTCTTGAACTTCTGGGCTGCCCATAATATATTTTTTCTTTTTTATTTTTCCACCCCACAAAAAAGCAACAAAAATAATAATAGCATAGAGAAAAAAAAACACACAGAAATGAAAAACTTGCATATTACGTATACGCCGCACTGGCAAAACAATGACGTCAAGCCATTGGCTTGGTAGTACAATTTACAACGTTCCATTTATCAAATATCGCACATCAGTCTGTCAGTAAGTCAGCTAGTCAGCTAGTCAGTCTCTCTGTCTGTCTGTCTGTCAGTCACTGGCGACATTGACAAACAAAGAAATATGTTGATTTCTAGGGCCGCCGCCATCATCATCAAGAACTTGACCCCAAAGCGCGCGCGCGCTCTTTGCTTCAATGTCTTTGTCCAAACGCTGCTGCAGCAACAATAACAACAACAACCGCAGCAATAACAACAACATTGGCAACAGTAAAAGAACGCGCTTGTAGCTTTCCGGTAGACGCGTCTACGTGAGACGCAGTTGATTTCCTGGTTTAAAGCGCGCGCGCGCGTTCGAACGCTCTCAAAGTTTAGAATCATTTTTTTCTTTTTTCTTTCTTGATGGTTGCGCCAAACAGGTTCACCTTGGCGTATGAGTAACGTCAGAGTTAGCTGGCGAGCAGGTTGTTTTTGTTATTGTTACTGCTGCTAATGATCTATCTATCTATGCATGTCAATAAATGTCTTTTGGCTGCCGTTTGCAGTAAACACTAACCATGCGGGTAAAGCATTGCCCGGAAACGTGTGTTTGACATTCACGCGCCTACGCCGCAGCCTCAAGAACAGCGACAACAACAAAAAAGAGAAACCAGATCGTAGGTAGAACCATGAGATAATGCTATAAGCTACTGATTACTTACCAGCAATGTTGGCATTGAATACGAGGGACATTCACGTGCTCGCTGTCGCATTGCCGACACCTTCTCCTTTGTGAACTCGCACGTCTCCAAATGGGCGCGCAACACGGCGGCGAGCAGACGGGGCTGATCGTCCAGTTCCGTGGCCAAGGCCCGTTGCTGGCCCCGATTCTGTGTACTTTGCTGCATGGCGGCCAAAATGCGCGCCTTTTCCCGTTTCGGCACACGTCCAAAACGCACAGCTGCAAGTAGATAAGAGAGAGAAGATGGTATTTAGTACAGTGGTAACCAATGAAGAGGTACTATATAGATTTATTACATGTATTTAGGTGTACTGAGGAAGACTCTCAGAAACATACAAAATTCTAGTTATTTCAAAGCCTGAAAACTGTAAATGGCAAGCAGAAGGTGTTATACAAATTGCATCGATGGTTTTTCATTTTGATCCTGTCCCCCTTTTTCTCTAGGCAACACATACTGTGTATATCATACAAGTAAGTGCTACATGCGCTTAAGATATTCACGTTTTTGAGATATTCGAGTGCGCCAGTAAGTAATTGTGTGTAGAGTTGTCAAGTAGGCTCGCATAAATTAAACGCTTCATTGCAAACTCTCTGTCTGCTTCGTCGGCTCTGTCTGTTGGGCCATAACAGTATGTTGGTATGTAACGATCGTGTTTGCATGTGTTTCTCTGGCAGTCTGACTGACTGACTGGCTGGCTGGCTGGCTGGCAGCAGGTGCTCCCAACAGCTGTTAAGATGAGCGCGCCCCATTTGCAGCCGCTGTCCGTTTTGTCACGCAGGAAGTTGGAAGTCACACACGCACAAGCACACCCGCCCTCTCCTCACCTCTCCCCTCTGTACAGTTGCTTAACATTCTGTAATTTATTGCTCACTGCACCCTTCTGTTGTCCTCAATGGCGAGTGAACTGAGCCCTTTTAAGTAGGTCATTGCCTGCTCAGCTGTCGCTGCTCAAGTCTGAACTCTTTGCCTGCTGTTGTTGTTGCTCTTGTTGTTGCTGTTGTGTTGGCTGCCGCTGTTACACTTTCTCTTTTTTTAGATTTTTAATTTTTGCGCCGAATTTGTATGTGTGGGTGAACTTTCACATTTCACCAGCGGCAAGTAACGACAGCAACACGTTTGCGGTCACGTTTTTCAACCTCTCCAGTACGCTCGCATTCGCACTCGCACTCTCCCTCTCCCCCTAGCTCTACCTTACCCTCTCACGCTCTGTGCCTTGAGTTGCGAGAGCCAGCAAGGCACGATAATTGAGGTGATGTTTGCTGGCACATGAAAATTGGTTTGAAGGTGTGTTTGCTTTTGCGCGACAACAACAACGATCTGAGTTGATTGAGTCGAAGGTTTGCCGAGTTTTTAATCCCCAGTCGAAATTTAAATGTGTATTTGAATAATTTATTTCGAATTTTATCCTTCTATCGTGGGGTGTTAAAAAAAAAGAATAAATATTTCTTGTTTTCTAATCTTTTTCTTAAGAATTTATAACCTTTGTTATGCCATGCTATTCCATTTTTATATTTCATTTATTTATTATCTTACTAGCTCTATAGATATTCTCATTTTATAAACAGAATCATATTGTGGGCTATTTTTTCAAAATATCTCTTAAACCATCACTTCGGATTCTTGCTATAAATAAACACACAATCAGATACAAATATATGCATTTGTTTGCGTCGTCTGCTGCTCAATTTTTCAATGTCAATGCATAAGAAAGGTGTGCTCCGAAAAATCAAAGCTAAAGTTTCTATAATTTCACTCAAAAGAAGGCAACAGCCAGCAACTTACAAAAGCGACAACAACAACAGCAACAACCACAATAACCAAAGTGGTACACACACAAAATTAGTAACAAAAGTGAAACAGCAAGAGACTGTGCGGCTGAGAGTGAGAGAGGGTGAGAGATGGAGAGGCAGAAGCAGAGACAGAGGCAGATTTTTCTTCTTCACTACTTTTTCCAGCAGCCGAGAAATCGAAGTCGTCGTCGTCGTCGCCGTCGTCGTCGTCGCCACGTCGCTGCTTCAGTCGACTGAGTGACCCACATTGGTGTGCAGCGAAATTCAGGTCAAATGAAATGGAAAATGAAATGCCAGCTGCCTCTTATGCTTGTCGCTGCTGTTGTTGGCGCTGCGTGTTTGCGGCCGCGCGTAGAAATTAGAGCGAGCGACGGCGAATGTTGCTGCGCCGACGCGCGCGTCGAAAACTTTCAACGCTAAAAGTTGGTCAAACACGCCAAAGCCTCAAAGGCAAAGCGAAATACGAGTATGATGTGTGTGTAGTTGTTGTTGTTTTTTAGAAAATAGCAAAAGTTGTAAAAGCTGCTCGCAAATGAAGACAACGCATGTCGCCAACGTTGGCGCAGGCGCAGGCGTAGACGCAACCGACGCGTCGCTGCTGCCGTTTTTGAAGTTTCATTTCAAGTTTAAATACAATTTTTTTTTGCCGCTCTTCCGTGCCGCAAACCAAACCAAAAATAAAAAATAAAAAAATTATTGTATGTGTTTATAAACGAGGTCAGCACTCAATGGCGCTTAAAGTTGTGTGACTTGAAGGCGGCAGAAAAAAAGGTAAACAAAACCAAAAAGCAAATCAAAGCCAAGCAGCGATCGCGTTCGCATGGGCTCGGAACTCTCCTCCAACTCTCAACTCGTCTGTCAAAGTGAAAAGTGTGTCTTGGCACTAAATTCTATTGGATGCTGATGATTGCGGCTGCATTTCTATGGCAGCGACTGTTTTTTGTTGTTGCCATTGCTGTTGTTTTCTTGGCCACGGCTTCTGTTGGCCAAGTGTGAAATGAAGTTTTTAGTGCTGGCGGCGGCAGTGGCAACGAGTCAGAAATTGAAAGCTGCCTGCTGGCCTGCCGCCTGCAAATTTGTGTCACGTTTTCGTTGAGCGTTTGTGAAGTTGTGAACTAGAGTTAATTGATTATTTGCTTTAGTTGGTATGTTGGCTGACATGGATGCTAGCTGATTTCCCATTATTGGGTGATAATTTTCAAATTTGATTAGAACGTTTATAATGGGATGGTGTGGCCCAGGCTGTGGGTTAGGCTATGCTGGATGCTCTTTCTTTCATAAAACCTACTCTGTTCCGACTCAATTGCAACGGTTTTTTAATTCAACTTACGCGCATTGTGATAATTCACGTTTCCTTTGAGTATGCCCTTCAATATTGGTAATTCTTCGCCCATTTTTGTGTGTGTTTGTTTGTTTTGTTTCAAAAAAAACTTTGTTATTTTCTCAATGCATGTAAGCTGCTGAGAGTGTGTGTTCACAATAACAACAAAAATGCAAGTTATGCATCAATTTTTGCTATACGATTTTTCATAAATTCAATTTGTTGTAATATCTGGTTTGCTTTGTAAATTTAATTTAATTTTTGGCACACAAACAAACAACTTTGGTTGCAGCTGCTCTTATTTGAAGTATTTTGAAGCAAGGCTTTTAGATTGGCGCCTGTTTTCTGTTGTTTCTTCAATTCAATTCATCAATTCATCAATTCTTTCACGCACACAAACAATTTTCAGGTACTCTTTTGGTGATTGCAAAATTTGTTGATTTGCAAAATAATTTACTTGTTGAATAAATATTTTCACTTAATTTCTCATACATACATATGTATGTGTTTATGTAGATTTGTAATATAATTTTTTGTATTTGCAGAGGAACTTTGTTTGCTTGCTTTTTGAAATTTATAATTAATTTTTGGAATATTCTGCTGCTGTTGCTTCACTTGGTTTAATTGTGGAATTTAATTAATTCACAATTATTTAAATTAAATTTTAGCGCGTAATCCAAGAGACGTGAGACTGGCGGCTGAGACTGAGGCTGACGCTGCTGTCGACTTTTCTTCACATTAACAGTTGTGGGTTTTAATAATTTATTAATATGTAATATTTAATTATATTTTGCATTTTCACACACGCACGCGTTGTCGTTTTTGCTGTTTGCTGTTGGTTTGCTTTGCTTTGATTTGCTGGGAGTTGAGTGTTCAACGAATATTACTAATATTAATTAATATGTAATAATAACAACAGCACTGAAGTGTATAATTCTTCTTTAGTTTTTGTCAATTTTCGCTAACATGACAAAACTCGACAAGGTCTCGAACGCGACTAACTGTAAAAGCAAAAGCACGTTACGAATATACCCAAAGGTAGCGGCAGCAGCAACAGCAACAGCAGCAGCGCCAGCAGCGTCGAATGGAAAACAGCAGCAACAACAACAGCGACAACGACAAAAAGCGGTAGAGGCAACGACCAACGCGTAGTATCAACAAGAGAGCAACATACGCTCAAAGAGAGGGGCAGAGAGAGAGCGCGCGTATGCAAAGCAAAGCTTGCCGGGCTTTTGGTGCACAGACATACCCACATATGTACGTATGTATGTAGATATAGCTTGTGTGTAGATAGTATGTGCATTTGCATGTTGTTTTGGGGGGCGGGTGGAAAAGTGCAACACCCAACAGCACAATTTATAATGAGAATTCAAGTTGAAAGTTTTCTGTAATATCGCTATAATTTATTAATTACCATCAGCATTATGGCAACAACATCAAACATTGATGTGCCGCCTCCTCAGCAAGTTCAAGCGCTCTTAGTTCTACTCCTGATAAGCTTGCAGCCAACTGTCAGTCAGCCAGCTTGTCTCCCTAATGCTTGTCTGGCTGTTATCTCTGCCTGCCTCATCATCAACAAAAGTTCAACAACCCAACACACGAGATAGATACGCAAACAAAGAGCGAGAGACAGAGTGTACAAGTACAATTAAAGAGCGCCGTTTTGGAGCAGCTCTCTCTTTAGCCTGCATGAGCTTTCCAACACACCGAAGAGCGCAAGTGTGTTGAATTTGACGGCAGCTAAGAGTAAGACCGAGCTTTTGTGAAAGCTTTAGACATGATTTGTGCAACTCTTTGACGCAACGCCGTCAAAGTAGCGCGAGGATGCGCATTCAATAGGCATTGCCAATTGATTGAACAGCCGCAGCGCAGCAGGTGTGTCCCTGCCTTGAGAGTTGTTGTGGTGGCATTATTATTATTGTTGCACACTTGATGCCGTAATGAGTTTTACCTTTTTCTACGTCTTGGCCATATATAATTTATGACACGCCTGGCCCCGTCGCGCATTTGACGCCCTCCTTCCCGCCCCACCCTAAGGTTCTGAGGCGTTGCATTTGACTTTGAGCGCATTACATTGCATATTGCCGACAGTTTTTGCAGCGCGTGT